AAATATTGGAAAGATATGTGTTTATGCCATTTTCTACCATTTCAAAGTGATTTAAGCCAATATGAAATTTCTAGAAAATTCATATAATACTTTAAAAGTAGTTACCATTTATTTGCTTACACAATAATATTTTATTTAGTCTTCTTGAAGTTTAATATTCTGTTTTGGGGGTAAAAAGATGAATTAGAAATCCATGGATCCTGATTTCTTTTATCTTAGATAAAAGAAGAATGTAATCTATATGAAACCAACTATTACCTATAGGAGCTTTAAGTATGGGGACTTGTTCTGATTGCCACTGTATTAAACTGTGAGTGGTTAGAGACGTGATCTGGAAGGTAATATACAGATAGAATAACAGTAGCGCTATGGAAGGAGAGATAGGAAACACTCTGTGGGGGAAGGTATGAAGGAAGATGATGAAAAGCACATGGAGCCTTGGCAGGGACTTTAAGGAAAATGGCCTGGGGACTGGGAACCCATGTGGAAGGCAGATGAAAACAAAGCAGGCATTACTAAGCAGCCAGGTCACTGGAAATCTTAAGATTTTCTGTTACCCTGGTATAGGACATGAAGTCATTGATGCACTTTATTGTGCTGCCAAAAGATTTAGTAACTCTGAATTTATAGTCAAAGAGATCTGTGTTCAATTCGTGTTAGCAACTTACTAGCTGTGTTACTTTGGGCAAGTTCTCTATCCTCTCCAAGTTGAGTTTCTTCATCTGTAAGTGGTAGTATTAATTAATAATTCTATGTTTCATAGTATGGCTATATGTTTTTAATAAATTAATGAAGAATAAATATTTAGTATTGACATCAAGGGACATAGTAAACACATAATGTATGATAACTTCTGTCATGATTTCAAAGTTAGAGTCTCACATGGTTAATATTTCAGTGCTAACCGTCACGAAATGGAAAGACAGTGAAGATTTTTGTTTTGTTTTTAAAATAAATTGAATTTAAGACAATAATGAAGCATGTCATTAGATATTATCAGTAGAAACAACGGATACATTTTTAAGTCACTTTATTTTCTTTAGGGCACAAAATAATCTAGCATAGATTTGCACACACTCAGCTTAACTATAGGAAACAAATTGAGGGCTGTTGGAGGGTGGATGGGGGGATGTCGTAATTGGGTGATGGGCATTAAGAGGCGCATGTGATGTAATGAGCACTGGGTGTTATACACAACTGATGGATTGTTGAACACTACATCTGAAACTAATGATGTACTATATGCTGGCTAATTGAATTTAAATTAAAAAAAAAAGATTTGCTCACACTGTGTATACAACACATGAAGGGGAAATGAAGAATTTAAACAATTAGCAGATTAATCTTGGTGCTGATTTGTACTTTTGTTTGTATCCTAGAAAACACTGATGAGTTGTGCTTATTTATTTAAAATGAGTCATTTGGATAATTGCTTTGACTTGGAGAATAGTAGAATCCATGCTGGGAGAGGCAAAGGAGTAGCTTTCATGTCCAACAAAAGCACCTCTGTATAATTACTTTCTCATATTCTGTAGCTATGAGGATAGTTTCACAGATTATGGAAAGGGATCTGATTAGATTGAATCAGGGAAAGGAAGCAGGCTACAGATGGGTATGGACTATGTCAAACTCTCTGGTTTTTCCATTTTTGCTTCATCAATGTGACCAGCCAAAGGAAAGGGGAAAAACTTCTGAATTCTAGACTTGGGGCAAAATGGACTCATTTTGATTTTTTTGATGGAAGAAGGAAATAATTATGAAATATTACGATTAAGTCAAAAATCCCCTATTATTTGGTATGGTTCAGACAATGTGTGTGTGCGCGTGTGTGCATGTGTGTGTGTGTTTAAATGACTTAGTAAATGATTTTATTTCATTTTACACAAATAATCATCAAACACCCAGTAGACAGGCAGATGACAAGCAGCAGGAGAGATATTCTTCCATGAGATTACATGTAGAGGTTCTTAGATTTTTAGCGTATCTAGGAAATAATACAGAGTTTGATAAAAATGCAAATTTGCAGGCCAAGCTTTAGATTTTAATTCAGTACGACTGGGATAGAGCCTAGGAACCTGAAAATTATTGATCAATTTAGTGACTGTGATAAGAGATCAAGAGATTATTGTACAGTTAAGCTTGATTTTATTTCTGGTTTGAACTGGATAAGTGGATGATGGTAGGATAGATGGAACACAATTAGGAAAATCAAAGTAGAGGCAAGAACAAGGCAAGGCATTTTGGCCTAGCATAAGACGTTCTGATAGAAAAGGTCTCCAGTGTCAAGACCAATTAAAAAAAAAAAAAAAGAAAAGAAAGAAAGAAAGAAAAGAAAAAAGGGAAGAAAAGGAAAGAAACCTCCTGAGGGTTAGAATCCTGAAACCATCTAAGGTTTTAGAATAGAGGAATAATAATAGAAGAGTAATTTTTATTGGAATGTTGATTTGATGAGTTGTAAAGCTGGAAAGCCAGTTAGAAGATTTACAATGTCACCTGTTTTTGTTCTTTCTGTTTTTGTTCTTTCTTTACTTTGAAAACAAAACAAAACAAAGCACTGATACTGATGTTACCTTCTCAAGCATTGAACATTAGTGAAAATACTCATCTCTTATACATGATTGAACACAATCCCAGAATCGTTCCACATATCCACAATGGGCTGGAGCTGTGTAATTGTTTTCAATGTTGAAAGAAGACATGTTACACAATATCTCCCTGACCAATGGAGCAAATTGTGATTTTAGAATTCCTTAGCTGAGATTAGGTCCTGGGGAAGTCAACTGAAGTGATTCTTCTATCCTCTACACTGACTACATCTTTCCCTTTCCTCTCAAGGAGATATAGTCACTCCCTTACATTTTGTTCAGCCTTCTAAAGCAAAAGAGAAAAGTCAAACCATAGATAAGAGGAGAAGAATCATTTTGTCAGTTGAAGTAGACAAGGCAATGATACTCCCCGATGTTTGCCTCAGCCGAATTGCAGCCCTTGTGAAATTCAACTTGTGAAATTCAACTTGATGAGGTTTTCTTTGTTGCTTTCGCTGAAGGAGCCTGTTTCCTGGGAGCCCCTCCTAGAACTAGATTGTGCTCTTGCCACCTGCAGAGCACCTCATCTCCCTGTGTGGTCAGCAAGGCTCTTTTCCCTCCCCCTTCCATTTGCAGCTCCCTGGATATTTCCCTGGAATTTGGACTCAGGGGAATAGATACTGTCAAACATGTCAAAAATCTTGTTTCTATGTTTTAAGAATTGATAGCATGTACAGAATAGCATGAAGTATAGAAGACATTCTCCCTGAGAGTTTACAATCTGAAGAAAATTTGAAGGCAAGCATAATCAGATCTCAAAAATGGTAGCAGATTGGCTATTTTGGTATTATATTCTTTTTCTTCCACGGCTGTTAGAGAAAAAGGAGAGAAGATACCAATCCCTGTGAGCTACATGAGTAAGGAAACAAGCTTTCTTTTTCTGTATTTCTAATCAATTTTAGGCAAATAAACTACAGATTTTATTTAGGAGGCTGGTAGGCTGACTCAGTTTCTCTAGATGATGGAGCAATAGATAGGCTTTGTGAAGTTCAGTGACATAACCCATCTGTCCCAGAGCAAGGTGGTTCTGGGTCAAACCTCAGTAACTCAGGAATCATTTACCGGCAGAACGTTGGTGTCAGTAATTACAATATTGACACATTACCTGGAGATGTCTTGATAATGCATGAAACCTTCTCTCCTCTCCCTTTATTCTTCTGTGACAAGCTGTCTATCCTTATATATTACTGTCTCTAAAGTGGCACAATTTCTTGTCCTTACTTCAAAGATATTGGAAAACCTGCCATTCCTGGCCCATTGTTTATCTCCTCCAACTCCATCCACATGCAGAGTGGAGACCAGTAGACCGATGCACCCAACCTTGCTTCTGCATTAGAACTCCAGCATGAAGACTACACAACAGTACCAGGATTAAAACCCCAAGGTCTAACATAGAAATTTAAGGGTAGTCAGAACAGGATGGATCCTAAAAGATTTTGGTCTTTAAACCCCAACTAATAGCCCTTTTTTCTCCAAGTTCATTTTACCCTTTCCACTCCCATCCTTGAAGATATCTAGTATCTTCAAAGCTCTACTATAATCTTAATTTCTTCTTGAGTTTCAGTCCACTAGAATTTCAGATAGATGGATAGATGCATGGAAAATAGATGGAGAGAGGAAGGAGCTTTGTTGTCGTTCATCTTTATTTTGTATAAGAAACCTCATTTCTATTTTAATCCTTCCACTGTGTATCAGAAATGCGAATTAGCATCCTCTCCCCAACTGTTTCCCTTTTACACAAAGCTTATTAATATGAGGACCTGGTGGAAGCTCGTGGGTATGGGATGAGGATGTGGAACATATAGGATGGAATATTACCTATCTACACTGACCCCACTGTGTCCTGCCTCACTCCTTCTACAAAACTTCTTCAGGCCTGGGGTTCTCTGAGCCACTCCACCCCACCCTACCCCACCACAGGAGGGTAACAGGAAACATTCCACACTCCTGAACCAGTGGTGGGCTAAAATAAACCTAGACTCAGCCCCTTTGGGACATCATCTAATTCCTCTGGTGCTATAGAATCTGAAAGACTGATTCAGTCAGTACACATATAACTTTGGCAGGAGACTTTTTTGTTCCCACCTGTGCCAGATGTAGACCCCAGAAGATTGCCAACTGCCTGAGTTATATGTGGAGATGGCCGACTTAACCCTCCTAAACCTCATGCCCTAAATCTGTCTGGGATTTATGTTGTTTCCCTTACTCCCCTACCTATGAATTCAATGCTGGACAATCTTGACTTTGTCTGAGGCTGAGTGAAAAATGCAAGTAAACATTTCCCTAATCATGTATTCCGTTTGATCTTTTGTCTTATATCAGAGCCTATGCTATTTGAAACTCAAAGTGAAGGATCAATTCTTTTGTTCTTTCTCTGATGTTCTCCTTTTTCTGATGTTCTCCTCTTTCCTTCTTTTTCTTTCTTTCTTTCTTTCTTTCTTTCTTTCTTTCTTTCTCTGATGTTCTCCTTTTGCTGGCTGTTGCTGAAGCAGGAAAACATCTAGAGATAATGAAATACAGGGAATCAAAACCAAAAATGATTAATAAATCAAGATATTATCTTTCTCTATAGTAGTTACTGAAATATTAGCAAATTAGAGCAGTTTTATAACCTGATGATTAGGAACAATTTTAACACAAAAAGCCCATCAGACTCAAAGGGGCAAAAGAACTAACATTTCAATAAGTAAAAAAGGAAGAGATGGGGAAAAAAAAATTTCAAGTCCTATAATGTTCATTGCATAAACACATTAAAACATTTTAATGATGACCTTTAACTTTCAAAACAAACTTGTGAGGTATGCAATTATTTTTCCCAATTTAGAGATGACCAATATGAGGCTCAAAACAGTAAGGAATTCGCTTCAGGCCACGCAACTAAAATGAGCTAGATACAGAATTAAATTTCAGATCTGACAACTGGCTTCAAAGTCAGTACTCATGGTGCCACATGGAGTGAGTAAATAACTAAGTATCACCCAGTTCATTTGGGAAAGTTATATTTGTAGCAGTAGCAAAGAATTTTTTAAGAGGGGGTTGTGTTTCATTTTGTGAGCTAATATTTATTGGACATTTTAATGTACATAACATCACAGACAGTGAGAAGGAAGATAAAACACCATCTCTGCCATGAGGGAACTGATAAAAGAGAGACAGAGACAACATAGAAAGGACACATGGAAGGCACTGGGATAGGTGCTGTTATAGAGGTAAAGTTTTGTGAAGCAAAGGGAAACTGACCTTGTACTTTATCTGAGAAAAGTAGGAAGTCTCCAGAGGAGGTTGCTATTGAGCTCTTTTGAGCAATAGACCCCACTAAGCAGAAGGAGGGAAGTCTAAGAGCTGTGAGGCCATGAGATATATGTATTAAGTCAGGAAGTTTTTAGAATAGATTTAATAATATACATTAACTATATTAATAAATATACTTAATGATATCCTGAGCAACTTATAAACATTTTTTTCTGTGGTTTTCTAGTATTTCCACCATATTTTAAGTCATTTTTGGTATCTACAATGGCACCATTAAGATATGAGGCAATGTCATGGGATAACACATTTATATGGTTCCCAAGAGTCATCTGTGAATCACTGAGAAAAAGGTAAGAAAGTCATTCCGCTCAAAGGGAACTGCTGCTTCATTACATGTTTTTAGAGGTGAAAGGGATTTTGGAAATGTTTTAGTACAATGTTTCTCCAACTTCAATAAAGTAGAAACTTCCTCCTAAAGGACAAAGATCTCTAGAATATTGACTATGAAATTATATTTATTAAAATGTTATTTAAATTTGTACAAAAAGAAAACATAATACTCTTTATGTTTACAGATCTTAAACAACCCTGATGCCTAAAACTCATTTATAAATAAAATATAAGCAAAAATATCAGGCTAGAGAAATCTGAAATAACTGACATTAATATGACAGAAGAGTATGGTACTGACTGCCAAGAGTAGGTACAAGTTTGACATATTTATTGCCATAGGTCATTGTTAATTCAAGTTTTCTATCATTTTTCTCTTCCCGAACTCCAGCAAAACCTTCAGTGGTACAATGAGCTGAGATTGTGTTCAAGTTTCCTTGTTAAAGATGTGTCATTTAGATATGCTTGTTTTTTCTCTTATTAGCCCCCCTGAAGTGAAGTAATATTACCATGGCAAGCATAAAGATGGAAGTCAGATGACCATACTCAAGTGGTCATTCTGATGATGCAGATTATGGTTTTATTTCTTTTTTGGTATTGTTATCAAAATGTAAGCCCCCAATCTAAAATTCTCCAACCAATAAACTCCTGAAGAATAAATTCTAACCTGAGTATTTCGGACATGGAACTAAATGATTAGTGGCCAAAAGATTAAATATTGGACCCCAAATTACTTAGGTAACAGTAGAGCTGGACCTGCAGGTAGAAGACTTCATTAGATTTTAAAATGTTTGGTATCATCCTTAAATGATGAATTTTTGTATTTTAAGTAACAATCTATAGATATGAACAATAACACCTGTTTTCCTTACGCATTTTCATCTTACAAAATTCAAGTTCTCACTTCAGAAAAGAGTTGTTTCAAGTAGGCAAGCAATGAGCTTCCAAAAGTACGTAAGATCAAAGGGAAATGTTAGAGGGAAAGAACAGGAAAAATAAATAAATAAATATCCAAAATGTTCCAAAAAACTTGGCTACATTGAAATTTTATGGGAAATACATCTGAATAACGTCTCCTCTGATTTAAGAACCCATTGGATGTGGAAAATAATGGTATGCTTGAGAAAAATCCCCAGAATTATCCTTTCTACCACCTCCTAAGGATAAAATCAACAGCAAACTCTACTTGGGTTTTTATATCTTATCTCATGTAATTCTCACCAAAACCCTACTGAGGACATAGTTTCAGTTGTATGGATGAAGAGACTGACCTCCGGTAAATTTTATGGTTCACCCAAGATCACAAAGCTCGTAAATGAAATAAACTGTTATCTATCACCTATCAGTGTTTAATTTATTTACCTTAGAGAGAGCGAGTGAGGGAGGAGTAGAGGGAAAGAAAGGGAGAGAGAATCCTCAGACTCCCAGCTAAGTGTAGAGCCTGACACAGGTCTTGATCCCCAAATCCTGAGATCATGACTTTAGTGGAAATCAGCTGCTCAGGTGACTGAGCCACCCAGGAACCCCAGAAAAGCATAATTTCAAGCAAAGTTCACTTGACTCTAAATCATGAGACTGTCTCCCTATATATAATCTATCCCTGTTTGATAATATTTTAATAGCTCTACCAGTAAAAGTAATATTCACAGGCTACATAGCAAGAATGAGTGGACTTACATTGTACACAATAAACATTTCATAAGGGAAAATAGTTAGACCATTTCTCTTTTTTCCCTACTAACTCCTCTGTGAATTGATTTTTCAGACTGTGGATGTCTCAAAGGAATGTATTGTAGAAAGGTAACACAGTGAAACTAGAAACGGGGAGTCTCTGTCTCAGAGGGACTTTTGCCTGGTGAAGATAATTGGAGAGAACAGAAAATGTTCTCTGAGCCAACAAAGGCAGCTTTGTTTACAGCTACTATTGTTTTCACAGAACATACATTACGTTTGAAGATTTTAATAGGCTTTTGTTCGGATTTAAGATCAGAGCCAAAAATAAAGCTAATTACTTGGGAATATTTTCTGTATCACTAAAAGAAATTGATTTGTTATTGATTTGTAAGTCATAGACAGCCATTAGCTAAATTATACTGAAAACTTCCAAATTAATTTCTTTAACCCAGAACCCTATATTAAGATATTAGCTAAAGAGCTCCAAGTCAGCAGGGTGAGGTCCTCTTGAATTCAGTATATCCAAGACTGACCTCATTGTCACTCACTCCTACTGCAAACCTGTCTTTCCTCCAATTTTCTCACATACATGGCCCATGCCCAACGCCCTTAAATCATAACATCACATGGATATTAAATAATACAGTTTATAGGTAATTCTATAGTTTTCCTCTTTCTCTATTCCATGGATATTTATTGAGCATATACTATGTGCCAATCTGCAAAGCTGATTAAAATTTCTGCCCTAGCAAACATAACATAGCACATAAAGTCATGGTGTACAGGTAGACACTTGCTTCCAATATTTTACAAGTGCTAAGAGACATTAAAATCAAACAACAAACCGCCTATATTGTATTACATTATTCTTTATCAACTCTCCTCCTAAAGAGGTATTCTAATTCTTATCTATGTGGGTTTAGAAAGGCCATCATCTGCCAAACAAGCCATCTAGCTCAATATCATGATTTAAATACACTTGGACCTTCTTACCTTGGATGATTCTTTTGTGCCCCCATCTTTCTACTTCCCTTAGGTCTCTCTCCATCATTTTTTAACCAATATCTTTAAAAAGGAACTAACTTCAGTCATTTAAATATCAGCATATACCTAATCAAATTTTCTATGTTGAAGACCACCTGTTTGTTATGTGAGCATGTAAGATTATAGATTTTCAATAACCACAGTAATGTTGGTTTTATGCTTTTTATGCTATATGTTACTAATAGCCTTCCTGAGATACGGTTTGTATACCATAAAATTCACATTTAAGTGTATAATTGAATACCTTGTATTATATTTATCTAGTTATCACAACAAACTAACAATGGAGGCTTTCTATCATCTCCAAAAGAAACCCCATATGCATGTAGTTGCTATCTGTCCCTTCACCTTCCCCAACCCTAAGCTACCACAAGTCTGTTTTTCCTGCCTCTATATGTTTGCCTTTTTTTTTTTAATGTTTCATATAAATGGAATCATACAATGTGTGTTTTTTTGTGTGTCTGGCTTTCACTAAGCATAGTGTTCCTGGGCTTCATCTGTGTTGTAACATGTATAAAGATTTTGCTCTTTCTTTATTGATGAGTAATGTTTTCTTATATGGGTATGCCACATTCTGCTCATTTCTTCACCTGGGTAGGCATTTAGATTGTTTCCAACTTTTGGCTCTTATGAATGAAGTTGTTATGAACATTTGCAGACAAATCTTGGTGCAGGCATATGTTTTCATTTCTTTGGGTAAGATACTTAGGATTGGTATTGCTGAGCCCTAAGTTTATATGTTAAATCTATGTGTAAGTTTTTAAGACATGCTGTTTGTTTTATTGATAGGATTGTCTTGTTTTGATTTTAAGGCATTTGTGGTTTCATGGCAGAAGGAATTAAATTAACAAAACCTTCTTGGAAAGTGTGTCACTTTGTCCCATTATTTGTTTGCTTTGAATTGGCTGTGTGTTCTCAGGACTGGAAGGATATCCATGCACAACATCCTTTGAAAACCCTCAGTCATTCCGGCTCATAGGATGTTCTGATCAGTTTCCTAGCTACTTATTTACTGCACAAAGTAAACCTCTAAGGAGCTTTTGGGCAATAAGAAATCGTGTCTTCTTTTTAAATTAAAATTATTGGAAAGTGAGACAAGAGTACATCAAGAGAAAATCAAATGTATATTTATAAAGGTAAATATCTAAAATGCAGAATACAAAGCAATCCATTTTCTACATTGAAAACAAATATTTTCAAATGAACTCCTGTATAACTAGCTTTAAGGTGTTGGATCATGATATTTGTTGGCTTCTACAGTGAAATTGGTATGTTTGGTGTCAATATGAGCAGCTATCTGATGAAGACAATACATAGTGACAGAGAATTTAAAAGCTGAAGGAACCTAGTGCGAGCATCATCTGTTAATTCATTACCTGCATAGTGTGCATTAAGACCCATTTAGAAATAAAATGATATAAAAAGGTAAACAGAGGATTCAGTAACATATTGATTTTTACAATCTTACTTTTTTTCCTGTGCAAAGGGAGCAAAGGTGGCAGGACTCTAAGATATGAAAAGTCATGAGATTGGCAGTAAATCAAGAGGAGATCAGAGGGGTGCCTGGGTGGCTCAGTCAGTTAAGCGGCGGCCTTCGGCTCAGGTCATGATCCCAGGGTCCTGGGATTGAGCCCTGCATTGTGTCTCCCTGCTCAGCAGAGAGCCTGATTCTCCCTTTCCCTCTGCCTGCTGCTCTGCCTACTTGTATTCTCTCTCTATCTCTCTAGTAAATAAATAAAATCTTAAAAAAAAAAAGAGGAGATGAGAGAACAAGAGTATTCATTCATTCCCACTCATCTGGTTAATTGCATCATTGTAGTTATCGTTCAGTATATTTTCTCTCCCTCTCATAAAAGGTGTTCAGTGTCTCCTCATACATTTTTGTGTATGGTAAATTTAAATCCCTCCAGAGAGTCTGTGGGTTTTTTATTTTATTTTAGTAAAGTACAAAGATAAGCCAAGTGACATATTCAGATTTGTAAGTACACGCAGTAGAATATTGTAGTGTATACATTATGTATAAGGATTTGTCCAATTTCATTTTGCTGGTTTCTTGGGAATTTTTGTTGTAGCATCTGTGCTGAATATTCTTGGCCATTATATGCAGCAGTGCATCACAACTAAGCAGCTGTGATGACATACAAAACTCTTCCAAAGTAACACCTGTGGTATCTGCCTTTTCTTAGCTCCCCACGGAGAGAATCTTATTTATTTCAGTGACTTATACATTTCAATGAAACAAAGTCACATACATTGGGAGGGTGGGGAAGGATTAGAATTTCCCTTGGTGGTCATTAGCCATGAGAAAAAAATGGAGAAAACATTAATTCTCAAACTGGATTATTTTTCTTACACACTAATGAAGCCTTGGGTATACCTTCAGAGTATTAGTTTATATTCTAGTTATTGCAAAGCAACTAGGTCAATTATTTTTTATTTCATTGATGTTTTAATTGAACTAATGTGAATGAATTTTACTTAATTGATACTTGTTTTTAAAGACACAAGTGTTTTGTTTTGTTTTTAATTTTGTATCATGTCTACATCTAGACTGATAATGATAAGATATGATCAAAAAGAAGTTAAAGGGAGTGAGGAAATTTCTAGCCTTTTATTAATCTCCAGAAAGAGGTTAATATAAACATTTACATATAAGAGAAGCCATCTTTAACCATATGTTAGTGAAGTGAAACGCCTCTGGAATTTTCCTTGCCTGGAAACTCAAATCAGGGATTTTTCACACTAGCCCACTCATTCCCTTCCCTTTCTATCTACTTAACTCTCCAAGTTACTTCCTGAGTGACCACACATGAGCACACACCACTTCCCAAACTGCTAGTATCTGATCCCCCCATCCTAATTAATAAGATTACTATCCTCTCTGTTATGTGTATTTGAAAAATTGCAGTCATTTTTAATCTTCTCCTTGTACCCACTTGTGCCCCATAGCCAACTAATTTCTGGATTTCAGTGTTTTCTGTTGTGGTGTTTCATACAGTTGCTGGAACTTTTCCGCCCTCTTTCTTCCATCAAGAGGTAGTACCTGTAATCGTTAAGGACACAAATTCCAGGGTCCTAATCATAGATCAGGCATTCCCTAGTTGTATAAATTCGGGCAATTCGCTTACCCTTTTTGCCTCAATTTCTTCCTCTGTACAATGTGTAAGTTGATGCTGGTCATGAGCAGGAGGCTTTGGTCCTTCTTGGTGTGAACCTTTGTGTAGGACTGCTTGAGTTTCTTTACAGGTGGCAGCTGGCTTCCCCCAGAGTGAGTGATCCAGGAAAGTACAAGGCAGGAGCCACATTATCTTTAATAACCTGGTCCCAGAGGTCAGACAACTTCATTTCTCTGATAACCTATTGGTTACAGTGGGACCTTGACCATAGGGTGTGAAACCAGGAGGCCAGGCTCATTGCCGCCATCATGAAGGCCAGCTTCCTATTCTTATTAAGTGTTCTGCCTGACATCCTTTCTTCTCTTGTGTTATGTTCCCAATTAACATTTCCCTCTCATCTCTTGCATCTCCAACAATCTTCCAGCCATTACCAACCAGAGCTGCCCCTTATCATTTCCTATGAACTTCTTATACACTTCAGATATTAACTCTTTCTCAAATTAGATGTTAATATCTTCTCTAATCATATCCCTTTGCTTTATATAACAATTTTTATTGTATGAGAAAGTTTTAACCTTTTGGCAGTCAAACCTGTCCATACTTCTATTGTGATTTCTTCTATTCTTCTATAAAAATACTACTCCTTTAAGAAGCTCATAAATATAGTTCTATTTTAGACTAGAAGGTTATTTATTATTTTCAAATGAAGTTTGATTCAGGTGGAATTTGTTTTTCCATCTGTTATACAGTATAGATCTAAATTAATTTACTCAACAAGCTTTTTAAAAATGTTTTCATGTTACCTATTCTACCTATTTTCATTTTATAAATTCTACTGGTCTCTATTTACTGGCCTATAGTTTTTACAAATAGAACATTAATTGTCCTTGATTTAAAAATTTTGTCACCTTCCTTATTCTATAATGTCTCTACCTCAGTATCTCTGAAAAATAGAAACTGGGTTTATAAGCATGCATTCGATTGAGCTTGGTCAAATAACTGAGTTCTCTCTCTCTCTCTCTCTTTCGTGTGTGTGTGTGTGTGTGTGTGTGTGTGTGTGTATGTATGTGTCTCCCACTAAGATCACAAATCTTGAAGTCAAAAGAGCTCTGTAGGATACACTGATGTTGTGGTTGTGATGAAATCTCCTACTTCTCTTCCTGGGGTACAATGTTACTATTAATTCAATTGCTTTTCTAATTTTAGAAGGCTGTTTGCATTCAGCTTATGTTGACCTTTAAATCAAATGAAAAACGAGAGTCAATGCTTTTATTATTGGAATACAAGTTAAGTCACATTCTGATTGTAATTAAGGGCCATTAAGAAGGTGGCTTATCTTCCTCCAGATTTGATGCCAGGTATGCCTGGATTTGGAGACACCATACCACCTATTATGGAGAGTAATCTCCAGTTTTATGAAGTGTCACATATAACAAAGAATTGTTTTGTAAACAATGTTGCCTGCTGAAATCTTAAGAATTTTATTGGATAAAGTTTCAAAAACAGCCCTCTTGGTAGGAAGAAAATGATTTGTTCAGGGATAAGCTTTTCTGAGTATGTATATATAGCCTTTTCAATTATTTATCTCTAATTACAAAGTTGCCTCAAAACCTGTTTGTTTTTTTGAGGTGTCCTGGTGACAGGGTGCTTGCATGCTCTTGAATGATGGACTCTAATCCCTATCCTACACTTCTGCATAATAAATTCCTTCCTGAAGCCTTCAGATTATTTTAGTTCATATGTCTGTACTGGTGGTCATCATATTACATGGCATTTACTCCTCTATGCCACTGTTTACAGACTAGGTTGCAAGTTGGTACTTACCTGAGAAGTTTAATAGGAAACTGGCTAGTCATTTGCTTGAACCACCTGGTTATCTGTTTATTTCTATATCACGGAGCCATGCTCTCTGTCACCACCTACAATGCCCTTTATCTGGGACCCGGGGCCTGAAAGCAAAAGAGAAGCACATTGTTTGCTCTCATTGGCACTCTCTGCTTGTACTAACAAGTAGTGCCAGAAATCTCTACATGTGATTAAGAATGGTAATAGGAGGGGAGGAGTCCCAAGAGAAATTTAAACAGATGGCTCTGAATCCATATACTCACTAAAGTTCACTCTTTAGCCATAATATATACTTGCCAAAAAAGTAGTGAGGAAAGAAAAACAAAACAAAACAAAGTTGGCTGCTCTGGGTTTGAAACTTATAATGAACTATATATGTAATTTGAAAATGGCATACTTTCTGGCTGGTTAATTAAGTAGATGGCTATCCTTTTTGACTGACCCCTGCTGAAGGATACAGAGACATTAGTCCTTTAATTCTTCATCTTTGAGAGAGCAGATAGTATTCAGTATGCTTTGGGGATAGTAGTACCTACCTAGTGTTTTGTGAAGATTAAAAAAGTTGGTTCATGGAAAGTACCTTTAAATTGATTCATGAAAAATGCCTTTCAAGAGGTATATAGCAAATACTCAGATAGTGGTAGTTCTTTGTAGTCATTAAATTATTGCCCAGACATGTAGGATTGAGTAAACCAGAAGAGACAGGATGCTGGTGATAGTAGATATATAGGCTGGTGATAGTAAATATATAGTAGATATATAGTAGATGTATAGCCTACAGGGCTGGACAAACCTGAGTTTGAATTATAGGTCTGCCATTTATTTACCCTGTAACTCTGTAACTTGGACAATTACTGAGTCTGAATCTTGGTTTCCTCAACATGTATTGGGGATATCATTTGCTCTTTTTCATGGTTATTAGAATTACATGAGGTTTATGTAAAATGTGCATCCATATGTAACATAGATGGCACAGAACCTGAAGCATTCAGCAAAGGGAATTCCTTCGTTTAGTGATTGAAATACCCAAGCTCATGTTCCAGTCTTTTCATTCAATAGCTATGAGATCTTCATGAAACTATTCTCTTAAGCCTCAGTGTCTTGTTTCTGGAACATGAAGAGTGAGATGAAATGGTAGTTAGTATTTACACATGTGTTTACTCTATATACCCTATTTTTGTCAGCACTTAGCTTTGAATATATAATTATTTGTTAATGTGATTTTTTCTTACCATGTTTTAACTCTTAGAGTTATTTATCTTTGCATATCCAGAGCCTAGCACAGTGCCTGACACAGAAAATTTACTCAATAAATGCTGAGAATGCTGAGTGAATAAAAGAATCAATGCAGACATGGATAGAAGCATACATATTTTCACAAGAATGATGCATGAGCAATATTCAAGGACAGAGAAGCAGTGCCTGCCCTCATTTCAAGCTGGAGACAAGCATTAGAAAATTGGAAGTTGGTTGAGCAAAAAGTCCCCAAGGATATTAAAGATGAATAGCTTTTTCCTCTACATGAAATTATTGCTAATGCAATTACATGTGTCAAAATTAAGTTTACTTTTACTGCCATTGCAGTGTGAGGTGTAATTGGCACTGGTTCTATTAAAATTGGTCTGTGTTTGCTCTATAATTTTTGTAAATTTAGCATGGTAATATTTTCTCATTAGTCATTTACCCAGTTTTTTCACAAGCAAATTTGAGGGGAAAAATGTCATTTGTAATGTTTTAACCTTGTAATACACATTTGATTTCAAATCTAATTGCTTTTCAAAATGAAATATAACAAATGATATTCAGGTTCATAAATGTAAAAACCTATTCTGAGGGTTTTTTTAACAAAAAACAAAACAAAATTATCACTATTAAAAAGATCTATGATTAAGAATAATTTGAAAATATCTAGGGGAAAAATAAAACTCAATAAATAAAACATAGTAAAAATATAAGGCCCTACTCTTTTATTGTCATCTATTTACCATTTTTATCAAAAAAGTAAATTTCATGTGCATTTGTCTTCAAATAAAGTCTTTTGGAGGCGAGTTTCTGTCACCTTTCTTTTTGGGATATCTATTGTACCTTTTTTAGAAATACTCCTATGCCTCCAAACTCTGCATTGGGTCTTCTCTTGTCCTTGTTTCAGAAAAATGTGTCTGTTCCCTTGGCTCATTCATTCAATAAATAATCATTTAGTAACTAGATATGCATCACATTCTGATATATAAAGCCAACTGACATAATCCGGATGGCTGCCCTTATGGTGCTCAGAGTTCAGTGAAAAAGACAAACATTATACAAACAAACACACAAGTAAATAATATGAAGACAACTTAAGATGAGTGCCATGAAGGAAGAGAACAGAGCTTGTGTTTGAGAAAGAATAGTGGCAGGGACAAGGTAGGGAGGCTGCTGAATTACAGTGGAGGGGGGTTCTGGGAATACAAAGGTGAGTAAAAGAATAGAATAAGAATACCTGCCTCTTGGGACTTCTAGTGTGGCTTGGAAGATAGATATCTGATAAATAATAAATGCTGTTGAGTTCTTTGAAGAAGGATAGCATGCTATGACAGGGAAGGGAACATGTATGTGTCTGATGTTGTCTTGGGAGAAAAAAGTTCTTGAGAAAATGATACTGAATCTGAGACCTGAAAAATAAGGAGTTAAAATGGAGAAGAAGAAGGGGGAAATTAATTCAAGTTCTGTTTCCTAACATATTTGAGTAATGGAAATATTAGTACAGCTGGATCCCAGAGAGAGAGAGAGGGCAAGTGATGAAGGTTGAGGCTGGGGAACACATGAAGACAGATATTGCTGGGTCTTATCATCTTATGGATGATAAGTGATAGAAGAGGTTTATATAATAATCTTGTTTGTCATTAAAGTCTAATAATCACAGTGCACAGAAAGCATTTGGAGGGTAGGGAATGGAAATTAAGAGTAGATGCATGGCGGGGCACCTGGGTGGCTCAGTGGGTTAGGCCTCTGCTTTCTGCTTGGGTCGCAATCTCAGGGTTCTGGGATCCAGCCCCACATGGGGCTCTCTGCTCGGCAGGGAGCCTGCTTCCCCCTCTCTCTGCCTGCCTCTCTGCCTACTTGTGATCTCTCTCTGTCAAGTAAATAAATATAATCTTAAAAAAAAAAAAAGGAGTAGATGCATGGGGGTGTCTGGGTGGTTCAGTCCTTTAAGTATCTATCTTCTGCAGGGGTCATGATCCAGGGGTCCTGAGATCAGCCTGCTTCAGGCTCCTTGCTCAGAGGGAAGCCTGTTTCTCCCTCTTCCACTCCTCCTACTTGTGTTCCCTCTCTCACTATGTCTCTCTCTGTCAAGTAAATAAATAAAATCTTAAAAAAAAAAAAAGAGTAGATGCATGAAGCCATATAATATAGAGACTGTAGTGGCAGTCCTGGAATGGAAATAACTGGACATATACAAGAAGTATTTAGGAGACAGAATTCCCAGGAATTGATGGCGATCACCCATCCTGATTTGACCATCCTAATCTAAGCATTTTAAGTTCCACATCCCAGGAAATCCTCCAGTCCCAGGCAGATCAGGATGTTTGGTCGTTCTAGAAGAGAGAATGAAAAATCTTATTAGACTCCTATGTTTCTGGCTTGAAGAGTGAAGCAGATTACAGTGCCACTTCCTGTGGAAGTGAAAGAGGCCAATTTTGAGTGGTAATGGCTTATGGGTTTGAGTTGCCAGTGAGATAACTGAGTATACATTTGGATAGAAATGTCTGGAATCAAAAGCAAGATAGGTGCAATGATAGATATTTAGGACATGTGGATTTAACTGACCAATGAAGCCATGGAATTAGGAAAAAAAAAAAAGAAGAACTAGTGAGCGATTATATTCACTGAGATGAGAAGTACACATCCTGAATATTTTCAACTTTAAATGTCTAAATAAAGAAAACACATTGAGTAGAGTGTCTAGAGAGAGGAGGGATCAAAGGAAAGCAAGACACAATGATCCTTTCAAGGTAGTAATGAGTTGTGTTGAATGTTGTTAACACATAAATATGATGATAACTGAAATTCACTGGATTCTGAAACATTAGAAAAGGCAATGTTTGTAGACTGATTGAAATATAAACATGAATGTGTTGGGATTGTGTTGTGAAGTAAGTGAGCATGAGGATATGGAGACAGCAAGTTAAAGCTATTTTACAACATTTGACTATAACACATATAAAGAAGCTGTCACCTAAAGGAGAGTAGGGAGAATTTTCTTTGGTTGTTTGAGATAAATCTGAGCCAACAGAGACAGACAACTTGAAGAAACTGGAAAGAGAGAGCCTAGGGTCTTAAGAAAAAAAGAAGATAGAGAATCTAGAAAGAAAGACAAAAGATTTTCTCTTAGATATGAAAAGGGATGCTTTCCTAATTAAAACATAAGGGAAGGAAGAAAAGAAAGGCACAGGGATGCATTTCACGGTTATGTTTTGTCGTGGCCGGCGCGACAAATCAACCAGGAACGTGAGGGTAAGAGGATGAAGAAAAGAACTCGAGAAGCAGAGAGATGGGGGCAGAAGGAGCACTGAGGAGGATGTCCAACAGTGCTAAGTTTATTGAAAGCATTAAGGCCATATGTATAGTGATATTACCATAGGAGAAGCACTACACTTGTGTCTAGTTAAACAACCATGAGTTCCCATAATAAGTTTCACAACTGACTATAAGCAGACCTCGTGATGCTAAATGGCTGATGCCAGTACAATTGTTCTGTATTGATACAGCAAATCTGAAAGTAATTTATGGGCTGTACTAGGGGGCAGCAAGGACCAGCCACGAACTTATGACCCCAACCGAATTGTTCTCATTTGTTTAGCAAGCGTGTGGGAAGTCACGTAGGCGAGCACACAACACATAGCACAGACCCTTTCTCAGTGCTACTCGACTTTATCGACCTAAGGCTTTTGTTCGGCTATTCAGCCTTTAAAGGAGGCACAAGTCAGGGCCTGGTTTGGTCCTCGTCTCAAGCCTTAACTTGGCCTCCCACAGTGTTTATATATAAAAGCATGCTACATAAGG